CTTCCTATCTTGAACATATGACTCTATCAGATTCTTTTGAAGAAAATAGTAATTTCTCAAAATTGATTTAATCTCATTAAGCTAATTCTCATATAAGTTTTTCTAGTTATTTAATCCATATGACATTTTACAATGTGGATAGTTCATATTTTTAATTTCAAAAAAAGATATTTAGCATCCAGCTTAATGTGTTTTAAAAACAATAACGTTGAAAATTTTCTTCAAAGTAAATGAAAGTAGCGTTTTTAAGAACGTGAAGAAAAATAATAAACTTTGGACAAATATCAATGAAGTAGAAGAAGTCAAAAATATCCACATAGCAAACACACTATCAAAAAGATAATATCATCGATACTCGATTTGAAAATTTTTAATTAATTTTAGTGTAAAATATAATAAAATACATTCGTTTTCTTCTATGAAACTCCCAAACTAATGAACATATCTCAATACTGATGAATACATACAGGTTCATTATAACAAAAGATTAATTATATAAGTAACAAGCATGAAATATAATAAATGACTATATATATATAATAAACAATTCATTGATGATTGCTATAGAATGTTTTCATCTTTGGTAACAAAAAAAAAAGAAGCGTAGGAGTAAAATAGTTTTTTCTTTTCTTACATAGCAGTAGTTCCGATTTAAAACGCGGTAAGAATATCTTCTTTTTCTAATAATCGGAAATGAACATATGTTCTGCATTTACATATTATAAAGAAGTCAATTCATTTGATTTTTCTTCCTTTTAGCTAGAACACATAAAATAAAGTAAGTGAAAGCAAAACAAAAAAAAAAATTTATAGATTTTAACAAAACGAACTATTTTGTTACTTTGTCATGATTTTTCCTATATTTTAAATATTTCTCATATAATAATTTCTCAGCTCTTTTTAATGAATATGCATACGTCAGTACTAAATAAGTAGGTAGATTTTCTAAACAATCCGATTGATGTCGATGAATGAGAATCGAACTAGCTTAGTTTTTATGCACGGTATTCCCATCATTGAGAACGATCGATTGTCTTGAGCAAAAGAAAAGTCGAATAGAAAATTATGTCATATACAAGAATTTATATTGATATAAATGATTTGTTTTTTGAAGATTTATATCTCCCTTAATAATATATCATGATGAATTTTCTTCTTACACCTTTATTATCTATTATTATGTTAGCAATATCATTATCAATAAATAGTTATCCATTAACTATATATTCAAAGTAAAGAAAATTTTCATTTTGAAATATAATTTTTTTTTTTTTTTTAAATTTTATTTTAGTCTCAATAATTTATCTCCTAGTCAAATTGATCATCTTTGCTCATATATTTCCGATATTGAAACAAAAAATATTCAATCATTGTAAAAGTTATTTATTCTTTTTTTTTTTTTAATCTAATTCTACTTAGGCAAAAACGTATTGTTCGACCATTTCCAGAGATGAATAGATTTTTATCAACAAGTCATAAACTTCATCATCATCATCATCATGTTAATGCAAAGAGTGGAACAGAAATAGAAACAAAAAAATATGATTTTCAAGCTTATTTATGCAGGTAAATATATAATTAATTCTATTTATGAAAATAATTTTTGATAATATTTTAATTTAAATAGTATTTTAAAAGATTCGGAAGAAATGACAAATTTTATTAGTATATTTATGGAAGAACATGGACAAACACCAGCAATTCATTTATTTGAATCATGTGAAAAATTAACAAAACGGTTTATATTAATTTGAACAAAAAAAAATTATTTGATTTTGTTTTTGACTTGTTTTTTTTTTAGAGATGACAAATCAACTATTCGATTCAATGAAATTTCGTACACATTTTTGTTTAATCTGATAATTAGAAATAATTTTATGTTTTTTTAGACAAGTTTGTTCATCACGAGTTGATAAACAATTGAATGATTCAATTGAAAGATCTATAACAAATGATTTTATGAATCAAATATTTGAAGAACAAAAAGTGAAATCATATCCATATTCAAATAAAATAGATTCGCTTTTAGTGTAATCTAGATAATAAATTTTTTTGAAAAAAAAAAATATTCAAATTATTTTTATATTTAGAAGCCAATGAATATCAATTTAAGCATTGAGAAGAAAGACCGCAGCAATTGACAAGACTTTCGTGGTTACAGAATTAATCATTAACATAAAAATTATCTTTCTCGTCATGTTTTTCTTTTTCTTCTTCTTCTAATCTTTCCTATTACTGCTGTTCTGCTCTCTTGTTTGTTTTCGTAAAGAATTTCATCATGAATAAATAAAGAATTCTATGTTGATTGTCAACGAAACAATTCAAAAAAATTAGAATTTTTTCAATTAAAATAATTTTATGAAATGTAAAAAACAAAAACAATGAAAGTTGAATAAGTATAAGATATTGAATTAAATGATTTATGACAATCAATTATATTGTTAAAACAACGATGACGGACATATACATTATGTATAATATGCAACTTTGTAAAGAATTATTAATAAAAAAAAAAAAAAACGATTGATTGATTCGAACTCAATAGAGTAAACGTCATCATATTTATTTATAACCTGCTGAGTTGAGATTCTTTTTCTTCCTTTTCTATTGCCCTCCCTATCATCTATTTCTTTTATGGTAGAAGTTACCATTCTATCGCTCTTTTTTTTTTCTTTTTCCTTATTCGTATTTTTATTTGTCTATAGAAAATACGATACCAAATGGAAGAAAATAACAGACATTACCCACGTAAACATAAAAGAATTATTTCTTGTCGATAGGATTCTTTCTAGATTATTCTATTGAAAAATGGCCAATACTAAAAATGAACGTACTTTTATTATGGTTAAACCTGATGGTGTACAACGTGGTGTTGTTGGAGATATTATTCATCGTTTTGAACAACGTGGATATAAACTTGTTGCACTTAAAATGCTTCAGGTTTTATGAAAAAAAAAAGTTTTATATTTATTAATAAGGTTTTTTTTTTTAATTTTAGGCACCAAAAGTTTTACTCGAAAATCATTATGCAGAACATAAAGGTTAAAGAAAAATACAACACAATTATCTAGAGAAAAAAAAAAAATTTATTTTTAGGCAAAAAATTCTATGAAACACTTTTAGCATATATTGGTAGTGGACCTGTTGTTGCTATGGTATGGGAAGGTTTAAATATTGTTTCTGTTGGTCGTAAAATGCTTGGTGCTACTGATCCAGCTAAATCAGAACCTGGAACTATTCGAGGTGATTATGGTATTGTTACAGGACGGTAAGAGAATATTTGTTTGTTTTTTTTTAAATACTTTATTTTTTTTTTTTTGATTTTTTTAGTAATATTGTTCATGGTAGTGATTCAGAAACATCTGCACAACGTGAAATTGCTTTATGGTTTCGAGCTGATGAAATAAATTCATGGCCACATACAGCTGAACAATGGATTTATGAATAAAACTAATTAAATTATAGCAGAACAAAAACTAGATAAAATTATCTTAACCTGTTTTGTTTTTCTTTATGATTAGTTTTTAGTTTTTAATTTTGAAAAATAAAACCTTATAGAATAAATCTAATTTATCAATTTTTGACACGACAATTCTACAATCAATTTTCTAATTCATGTGTTACTTTTAATTTTAGCCAAATACTATGAAGATTTTTCTTGAAATTATTTGTTAATCGTTTCATTATAATATAGACATTGATCCAACATATTGTACCTGTGTATGATTAACTGTCAATTTCATTTGCATATTGACCTTGATACAATAAGTATAAATATGCGTACGTAATTGATTGATCTATAAAAAAAATTTTGTTTCTTTTTTGTAAGTTCAATTGGTTCTGAAAATATTTTTTTAAATTATTTAAGTTTGAAATTCCTGTATAATGAAACGCGTGAGCCTTGTTGATTATTTCATAATTCGGTGTAATAATAAGATGAAATTTCTGAATGATGTTGTTTAATAATAATAATAACTTGTATTATAATTTTAATAGCAATGAATCGTGATTGATTAAATGTATTTGTTCGTTGTGTTTATTTCCATCATATATAACTTAAACGTAAGACAAAGAGTTAAACGAAATGAATTAGCATAAGAATTAAAAAAAAATAATTTGTGTTTGACGACAAATAAGACTATCAATTAAACGCTGAATATCTACCCAGGTCAAGCTCGGTACATCGGAACCGATCGGTTCCGTTGAATTCCGACGATTTCTTTACTACAGGATTCCGGTCCAGATTTCGTCGGATCAGTTTCCATCGGTTCCGACGAATTCCTGGTCGAAATTTTGCGGAACTTAACGGAATTTTTCCGGCGGAAACTGGACCGAAATCCTGTAGTCAAGAAATCGTCGGAAGTCAACGGAGCCGACAGAAAACCAACGGAATCTATAGAATCCGCTGCCGGAAAACAAAGGTGAACAAACGGTTCCGGCGATCGGAACAGTGGACCTGGGTACACGATTAATTTCATTTTTTTACGGATTGTATCGTTATGTATTGGTTTAAATATACTTTGATATGATAATGATATTGGATTGTTGATAACCAAATCCATCGTTGATCATTCGAAGACAATCACTATGTAACAATATTTTAAAATATATTTTTTTTAAAGTGCTCTTCTAGATCGTTTCATTGTACTGATTGGATCATTATTTAATATGTTTCGCTTCCGAAATAAAGGATAACGGTTTTTCATGCTTTGTCAATGATGAACATTGAAAAATATAATTAAGAGAAAAATAAAGAGAATATATATATATCATGAGAAGAGCGCTATATGAAGCTGTAAGTAGGGAAGACAAAAAAAACACTTGTTGATATGTAGTCAGTTCTTGTGATAGATATTGAATAGTTTTTTGAAATAATTACAACAGCGAATCTGATGAGCATATATTCAATATGGATTATTTATGTTGAAAAAAATTACAAATGGTTTTTTTTTGATAAACGATATTTACATTTTTGTTTTTTTTTAGTAATATTAACAAAGAGAATATCTTTATGTAGGATTTATTTAATTTGATTTAATTACATTTAAGATAAAAAAAACAAAATATTTTTACCATAGAATAAAATTATTTTTCAACAGTTTATAAATGAAACCAAGAGAAAAAAGAACAAATTATTATTTTTTACTAAATGAATATTAGTACATATCGAATAAATAAAAGAATAATTTAACATCAATTTCATATTGTGTAGTCAAACGATTTTCATTCATGGTATTCAAAATTTGAGGATGGGTATGGGTGAGTGTCTTCAGTTCAATCACATCTACACTCATTTCCTAACTAACTTTCTTTATAAATGAAGATGTAACTAAAAACAAAAAAAGAAGATCAAATTTTTAAAAAATAAATCTATTTTAAATAATATCTTGTGCAAAAATTATCTATTTTCGAGTTAAGTTATCGCCTTATAATTATTTGATTAATAACAAAACTGTAAACATCAGCAAGAAAAAAAAACAATTTTTAATCAGTTTAATAAAAAAAAAAAGTTTTTTGTAATTTTATCAATAATAGAAACTTTTCATTATGAATAAACATTAATTTATAGTGAGTCATACATACAAAACTAAAGTTAACATTCATTTATTGAATGAAAGATATAATATATCCAAGATTGTACATATTAAATCAAAAACAATAATTGTCAAAGAAAATATCTTTTTTCATTAAAGAGGGGGGGGGGGGTGTCCTCATCCTAACATACCATGAAACTTTGTCAGTTTGTAGAGAGTACCTTCAATAGTATAACTGTGCAATAGGAAAAAAATTTGTCAAATATTGACTGAGTTATTAATTAATTAAACATTTTTGGTTTGAGAAGCATTTTTTAAAAATTTTCTAGTTTTTCATATGTATATTACTTTTAATTGATTCTGATGTAGTTTTGTAGAGAATTGTCTGTAGATATAATTTCATATTTGAAAAGTTCAAAAATGACTTCTCTAAGTACTTTTTAATTATTAATTAGTGCTAATTAATAATAGTGCAGTGGAAGAAAATAAATTTTTTCACTATTAAAATAAATGAAAAGAAATTAATTTTTATATCATTCGATAGAGCTTTTAAAGTTCTATCGATTGCTATATGCTTTTCTTTTAAAAGCTCTCATTTTCGAAGAAAAAAATTCGATAATGGAGACAAGATGCAACAAAACCGGCTTGTATTAGGCAATTTTCACCATTTTACTTTTGTTTACGGGCAAAATGAATATGATATTCAGAATAAGTATCAAAATCTGACCCAGAAAACATATTTTTTTCTGACAAAAAAATTCTGTCAAAATTACGACCGTATACCTCCTCAGCCTTTTCAAATATGATTTCGCCTTTGGCTCTGTCGACATCCGATTTCGATGAAAATTTTTTTTTGTCAGAAAAAAATATATTTTCTGGGTCAGATTTTGATACTTATTCTGAATATCATATTCATTTTGACCGTAAACAAAAGTAAAATGGTGAAAATTGCCTAATACAAGCCGGTTTTGTTGCATCTTGTCTCCATTATCGAATTTTTTTCTTTGAAAATGAAAGCTTTTAAAAGAAAAGCATATAGCAATCGATAGAACTTTAAAAGCTCTATCGAATAATATAAAAATCAATTTCTTTCCATTTATTTTAATAGTAGAAAAATTTATTTTCTTCCACTGCACTATTATTAATTAGCACTAATTAATAATTAAAAAGCACCTAGAGAAGTCATTTTTGAACTTTTCAAATATGAAATTGTATCTACAGACGATTCTCTACAAAACTACATCAGAATCAATTAAAAGTAATATACATATGAAAAACTAGAAAATTTTTAAAAAATGCTTCTCAAACCAAAAATGTTTAATTAATTAATAACTCAGTCAATACTTGACAAATTTTTTTCCTATTGTACAGTTATACTATTGAAGGTACTCTCTACAAACTGACAAAGTTTCAT